AAGGCAGACAAGACAGTAAAAGGGAGTGGTCCTGTGCACCTGACAGACAGACAGAGGGCGGGAAATCAAAGGCAGGCTGCAAGAGCATCAAGCAACAGCGATTTGGAAGCACAAAACTTAACAGTTAATGCTGCCCATTGTGACACTGGGCCAACAACATTCATTGTGGCTTCCTAAGTTAGAAAACGCCGTAGACCAAAATTTTAAAGGGAACACATTACCTTTTGCCAACCAATCTCCCCCGACACCCAGAAAAAGAAAAGGTCCCCGCCACGTTTGGAAGGAGGTAAGGAGGAGGAGGATACTGGAGATGGTAGAGAATGGTAGTTACATTAGCGTTTTTGTTGTTAACTTTGTGTTCAAAATTGGTAAAAGCCCATTAGCTGCCAAGAGGGAATAAGGACACAATTTCCTTCAGGTAAGTCTCAAAACCACGATTAATTTACATGAAAAGCTGTAGAGAAAAGTAGTTGAAAAATCCATTCATAAACTTTTATTCCACTTACATGAATTTAATACATGTGTTCTTAACAATTATGCTTGGATTGTTCATGAAAATTTCATAAGACATTAAACAAAGCTAGCCGTCATCTCAAGTCGTTTCCCTGTTAACTGTGTTTACAGCTCATGCATGTTAGGCAAGTATCAAAAAGGAAAAAAAAAAATCACAAAAGCAAAAAACAAAACAAAAAACTAAAAAAACAAAGTTAAATACACGGGGTTTTGTTTACCGCTGCGCTTGATACACGTGGAGCAGTGAACACCAAGCAACTCATTTTACTGCGTCTTTAACTTTTACATTTGTTCTTAGATTGCCTAAAACATTTAAATACAAATAAAATGTGTAGCAAAAATAATGAAAGCAAACAGCAGGTAACTTTACAAATAATGGAATGTGAACCGTTTCTGCCCTTATCAGAGTAAATTGGGTCACAACTTTCTTTAGGGACCACTTCCGGAGCTGTGGCCAGGGTGTGCATGCAGACAGGCGATCCCGCGGTGTATCCAGGGTACACCTGCTGTTTGTACCACAGCATCACCAGTGCTCCAATCCAACCTTAAAGTACCCACAACAACTACACTCCTGACTGGAACCAATTATCCCTTTATTCCCACCAGCACAAACCAGTATGTACGCAGTTTTCTTTGCTTAGACATGGAAGCAGTTTTAACACTGGCCCTTCTGAAGCCACAATGTACCAAAAGTACTATGCCAAACATGTATAACTCGTGTAAAAATTCCACTTCCCCATATTGGCCACCTCAAGATGAAAACGAGTAACTCCCTAAAATTAACTGGCTCTACTCCCCTAATATTAAAACATAAAAACCACATGGGAAATATAGAAATTCAAATAGAAGTAACATAAACCTGTCATAAATCGTAAACAAAAAAACTATTTGTGGGACAGCATGGATGACAAATGTCTACTGTGTAAATTTTAGAATGAGGCAGACAAAGGTTGGAGGGCTGGTTAATTTTCCCCTCCTTCTCCTGCTTCTGCTTCGTCTCCTTGGGTATCCGATGTCCACAACTGTAAGAGAGGGAAAGATTTTTTTTTTCAGCACGCTTCAGATTACAACGGAAAACAAAACAAAAACCAAGAAACCCTGTCTTGTGCGCATGCCAAGGTCCTGGCACGTGAGCTCGAACTTCACTCAGAAAGCTAAAAAACGATCCCTGAAACCAGCCTGACCTTAGGCAGACTGCCTTAGGCACACCTGTCTTTATAAACAGTCATTAAGGGGGAGAGGAGACCAGTGCTTCACAAGCCCAACCCCACAGGGAGCCACCACTCCTGCAAGCTGTCCTCCCACCCCCAGGAACACACAATCCCAGTTCTCAAAGACAGAATATTGGTTTTTGCATTTCTAGTTTTTCTAATGTCAATGGTTTCCAGTGCTTTCCAGGAAGGCTTCGATCATGGACAGGGATAATGATAACTTCTAAAAGCAGCAGCAGGCCAATCAACTGAGCTAACTGCAAGGACACCTGAGACTTTGAATGAACTATGAACTGAAGAATGAGAGCCAAGAAGCCCAACCTAATGCGTGGTCTACAAGGAAAGTCCTCTAAAGACAGCCAGATGCCGGGTGCAGCCTGTGTGCTCCAGATAAACCACAAGATGAGCCTCTCTACTGTCTTCCTCATCCTAACTGGTAAGGTAGGATCTGTGCAAAAGCATCACAAACTACAAGGTGTAATACAGACAGCTTTCTGGTGAGGCGTCCACCTCGCTGGCCAGATTCAGTCAACAAGGCTCAGGGCAGACAGAGCCTGCTTCTCCTCCTCACTCACCCACAACTCCAGGGATGAGAGCATCAGCCAGGAGTTCCACACAACCAGACCTCCCATCTACTCTAAACCCCGCCTCTCCTCTTCAGAGGAGGAAAGGAAGGCTGACACTAAGTCTTACATACTGTCCAGGCTGGCCTAGGCTTGTGTTTCTCCTGCCTCCTCCTGATTTTTTGGGAAGGAACATACATACCTGTGTACATGTGTGTATAAACAGTGTTATATGTATAATTTTAGCAGTTACTGAGGATTAAATCCTGGGCCTTACACACATGGGTAAATGCTATCCCAACGAGCCAAATCTCTATTAAAAATTAATGAATCAAATGATTCATTATTTAACATATTGTTTCATTTTCGCTAGAGCTACAGCTCTGTGGTAAAGCGCTTTCCTAGTATGTATGAGACCCTGAATTCCATCTCCAGCACACACAGAAAATTTTCAATTCTGCAGCCTTTATTTCTTACTTCAAATCTCTTAATTGTATAGACAACCGCAACTACGTTTACCAAAATAATTTTAGTTATTTGGCAGTAGACCAGCGTTGGAAGTGAAATATGCAAAAGGGTGGTTAAGTCTGTAAGACAGATGGCCCGAAACTGAACACGCAGAAACACTAGACTATACACACCATTTCTACTTTTCCCTGACACAGTACAGGTTGAGTAACTTTTTCACCTAAGCTTCAAAACTTCAAATTTAATACTTATCTCAAGGGACAACCCAAGAAGCACAGGCTTTATTTGGACCCCAATTTAAATAATAAACAAACACACTGAAACGCACTCTCAATTTAGTTCCTCCTTAGATCTTCAGCACAGCAATGCAGTAAAGTAACCTTCCCAGGGGCAGAGACCAGGCAGGTCATCGCCCCACACACAGCTCCTGCTGTGTAAAGCTGTCACAGCCATACAAACAGGAGGACTGAAGGACAAGAAAACCAACTTCGAATACAAACAGTCCCATGTTTACTTTTAAATCTTGCTGTCAGTACAGTCCAGGCTAAGCTTCTAACTTATCATACCCCAAGACACCAGTTTTAACTTGTGTTGTTGAAGCAAGCAACGAACTCTGGGATGAGAAGGAAAATAAAAGTCCAAGCTATCAGCAATGAGCTCTGAGAAAGGCAGTTTTCTTCTTCTTGTGGTTTCACCAGTAGACAGACATTGTATTTAGTAATTCTAGAGATGGTAAATATTCCTAAAGTACAGACAGACTCTCTAATCACACCCAGCACCGACAGCTGTGGGTAGGGTACTCACTGTCAAGTTGTCTCTCAGTAACTGCATTATTAGCGTGCTGTCTTTGTACGACTCTTCACTTAAGGTATCAAGTTCGGCAATGGCTTCATCAAAAGCCTGCGATGACAGAAACAAAGCACACTTCAGTACCAAGCCATCAAGACTGCTAAACCCCCTCCCAGGCAACAGGTGAAATACGTACTGTTTTTGCAAGAGAGCAGGCTTTCTCTGGGGAATTCAGAATCTCATAATAGAACACAGAGAAGTTAAGGGCCAGACCCAGTCTGATAGGATGTGTTGGTTGCATTTCCTTTTTGCTGATTTCAAATGCTTCTTGGTATGCTTGCTGTGATTGGTCCACAATTCCTGGTAACGAAACATAGTAAAACCCACGTTCAAACTCTGTGCTACAGCTTCACTGCAGCCAAACCTTTCATTTAAAATCTAACAAACTTAAGCAAATTAGGCTCTTTTATTTAAAACAAAATGGTGTCCCGGATCCCACTACCCACTTGCTACTGGGGTGGGTGTGGAATGACGACTCAGATTAAGAACACTGATGGCTCTTCCGGTAGACCTGGGTTGATTTCACAACACTCTTAATGCATGTTCCAGGGAATCTGACTGCACTACTCTGACCTCCAGGGGCACTGGATAGCCACGCAAGCAGACACCGCCACACACAGAAACACCCCCAATGGTTTCCCGGGACAGCAGCTGGCCAGAGGAAAGGAGCCCTACACGGCCCTCTCAGTGCTCCAAGCAGTACACCAAAGACGTGGTCTTCCCCAGGTGAGTGGCCACACAGCTCACCCAATTAGGAAACCCGCTCACCTTTCTTGTCGTCCCCAGCAGCAACCTCGGCCAGGTAGCGGTAGTAGTCGCCCTTCATCTTCAAATAGAAGACTTTGCTTTCTGCTTGCGAAGCATTGGGGATCAAGAACTTTTCCAAAAGAGACTTCAGAAGAGAGGAAGAAAGAAAAAACAGAAAACCATAAAGTTAACAAAGCAAAGTTATTGAGAGCATCTTAAGCAAACACTATGGACAAAGCTGTAAATCTTCATTTTTTTCTAATAACCTTC